TTTTTCTGGACTGGAATTGAACAGGAAATGCAAATAAACTTGAATGTTTTTGGTGCAAGACATTCAAATGGGTAGTAGTTACATTATGGAGAAGAACAGAGGTAGATTTTTGCTCATCTGAGGCAGTGCAGAGTGAATGATCCTGGCGAGCAGGAGTCATTTTAATTCACCAACAGGTGCAATGGAGGAGCCGGGGGGAGGCCGATGGTGGCTTTGGCCCCAAAAGAATAACCTTTGGCCACCCCATTCATTTGAGGAAACTATAATTTAAGCAATATAAACAGTAGAAAGCAAAGTTTCTTCAAATGACGGGGGTGGATTCTGACTTGGCAACCCAATTTTTGGTGATAACCTATTTTACGCCTAGATGTAGCCACACACCAAAAAGGAAGTCGATACCTTTCTCATTTTTCAAGTGAGGTATAGAGGGTATTTCCAATTCCCCCTCTTTGCTTTGTGACAGAGGACAAAATAACGCCACTTAGTAAAAGTTATCTATCTAAAGAAACCAGCAGATTGTATTGAACCTTCACTTTGTCGCAACCTTCCATCATGAGCAACACATTGGCGACAGTAGAAAGAAATGACTCTCTTGTAACAGGATGAAACCTCCAGCAGAACTGGGCTCAGGAGTATGAGCCTCTCATTATTATAATAGAATGGTAAAAGAATGAGTAGGTTTGTGAATATTTTGTTTAAAACCATTTGACTTTACTAAATAATTAAAGGTGTGATTTTTGATTTGAATTAGACTATGAAGAACTAGTGTCTTACCATGGACACAGCTAAAAGGTCATTATCATCTTTAGTACAAATGGACCGAGGTCCTTGATACTCACCTTTAGTTGCATTCACGATTCCCCCTCGCACAAAAGTCTTGTTTTTTCTTTCGTCATTGGCCCCAAATGATGCCACAAATTCTTCAAAAACCTCTGCTGCTTTCTCTACTTCCTGGTGTCACACACATTTAGAAAATAGAAACAATTGTAGCTAATAATTTGTAGTTAAAAAATAAAAAGATCATAAGATTCATAAAAACAACAACAACAATAAATGCCGTTTTAACATCCAGAACACCTTTTTCTTCAGCTCTTCTTGCTCTTTTTTGCTGAGTGGTTTCATTGAAGGAGCTGGTTTTCTCTTTCTTTCTGCCATTCTCAGACTGATGTGGGGAAAAAAAAGACAGATGAAGAAAAAATATATTAAGTGTTTTTAATGCTAGAAAGAAAAAAAATAGCAATTTTAATTTTGGTAAAATTGTTTTTTCATCGTTTACATTTTTAATGCAACCTCCAAAATGATTCATATCCTAATCTCAGCTCAGATTCAATGATATTTAATATGTTCTTGGAAAAAAGGGGCGTGTAAAGCTTCTGGAGCATCATCAGACTTTCCAACAAGACTGTGATCAGAAACATCAAAGTAAAAATAATTAGTCAAGACTGAACAGAAAACAGAAACATTTTGGACCTTCCTGGGCAGACTCCAGAAAAACTTATTTAAGAAATGTCATTATGCATGCTCAATAATCCAGGTAGATTAATCTAACAAGGTTGAGTCAGGTCATCTGGACAGATTCTTCTTTGTTGAAAAGTTTCATCTTTTATGCAAAAGACTTCTTCAGTCTGAGGAGCTGCAAGAAAAAGTACTGTAAGCAGCTCCTTCTCATAGTGGATCAGCTAGTTTGCTGGTGACATCCAAAACTAGCTGTTCACATGCAAAATGATGTGAACAACTAGTTTTGGCTGTCACCACTTATGAGAAGGTGTTGCTTATAAGACTGAGTTTGCTCACAGCTCCTCAGACTGAAAGTATTTTAAATAAAAGATGAAACATTTCAACAAAGAAGAATCCGTGCAGAGGACCCGACTCAACCTTGTTGTAGTTATCTTCTTGGATTATTGAGCGTTGATAGGACAATAGTTGGGATCATTTAAAAACACAACCTTAAAATTAAACAGAAAAAAGCATGGACAACCTTGACACCGTTCATCTTGACATCTACAAATAAGATCTTAGTGTTGCTTGTCCAAGAGTTTTATCAAAAAATCCAATCCAGGGCATGAATAATTGGAGGACAGCAGAAAATAATGCATTTTATACAAAAGGATGGTTGTTCTGGGTGACTAGACTCAAGAAGGAATTAACATTTCTTTCATATTTTCTATTATTATGGGCACCTTAAGTCAAATCAAAGATGCAGAACAGGAGGACTCAACAAAATCTAGTGGTAGCAAAAACACAATGAGGCCATCTGCTGATGTCTATCTACCACATTGGCTTGGAGGTGGGACAAATCTGTATCAAATCAATGTAGCAAAAATATTTTAACATGAAAACACAAATATCAAAAGCTGTTTTAGTCCATTTGTTGCTACAACTGTTGTTCTCTCAGGCCTGGTTCAACTTCGCTTAGCTAACGTTAGCTTGCAATATTATTTAGCCTAGCTAGCTACCAGCAGTTGTTGGGACTCAATTGAAATGTTTAAACTACTAAACACTATTGTATACAGTTAACATTTTTTAAATTAATTCTGCAGTTGCTTTGCATATGTATCACAACTATGATATGCTTCCTTCGTGTCCTACAGCAAAAATATATCCTTGCTAGTAGCTAACACGACTGTTACTCTGCTGCTAACACTGGACGTAGTTTAAAGCGCAGCGCGTGCACATAGTTTCATACCTTGGGACAAACTGTGTCCTGTGTGCTACTGCGTCATTATTTTGGTTACAAAGTATTTGTTTATGTCACAAAAACCCTTCAGGAGGCGAGAAGATTTCCGTCTGGAGCTGCTCAGAGCGAACAGAAGGACTAGTGGAGATGATGTTTCTAAACGCCGCCTCCTCGAGACAGGTTTTTTTTTTTTTTTCCTTCTTCTTCTTGAGTTTAATGGCGGTTGGCAAAACACTGTAGGTGTGCATTACCGCCACCACTGGTATGGAGTGTGGTTCATCATGGTATAATTCTATGTGTAGGTATGAATAAACCACGTATTTCAAATTCTATCAATCAACTTTGTTTTCTTAAAATATCTAATTATAATGTGTATATGTTTGCTCTCTAAGTTGTGTTGTAGTGCATCTATTATGTTAAACTTTTATTTTATCTTTTCAAACTCTCTCATATACAAACCGGATTCCAAAAAAGTTGGGACACTATACAAACTGTGAATAAAAACTGAATGCAATGATGTGGAGATGG